TTGTGCACAAAGAAAACTAAAATAACGACTTTATTCAACAATTCTTCTCCTCCAAATCATGTATTGTAGCATTATGTGCGTGTTGGGCATGTTTGCTTGTTGATGTTAATTTAATTATAAGAGGTGCTTTGGAATATAAGTTTTTCAGATGAAAAAAATGCGACTTGTGTTTCAGAAAATATGTTTATCACTGTTACAAGATTTCTGTATAACGAGTGATTCCTTACATTATTACAAGACAAAGTCTTTTGATTATAGTACTGAGCCGCTAATAAAAGTATCGGTATCGGCCTGTACTGGAAAAAGTGGTATCTGTGCATCCCTACTGTTAGTAACTAACTACTGTTAAGATATTCCATTGTAATATACACTTTAAATACTTTACAAATCCATTATTACAGTAATGAATAATCAAAAACATACTGAAGCAATCAAAATACGGATGTACTTTTTTATTAATATAATAACCTAAATAGTGTAATAAATAAAAAATCTGATGAATAAAACATAAAGAATAGTATTTGACTTGGCCTTTGTCTAATTCCCAGCCCTCCTGTATTTACTACACACAGAGAGTAATTGAATTTACCTGGCTTAAATCATTTATGAAACATGATTGCTCTGACCTATTTGAACTGTCGTTCTTAATTTACTTGTGTGCCTTTGGGTTAAGGAAAAATTAAACAAGATAAACCGTTCAAAACAAGATATACAATTGGATCAGGTGAGGCGGATCAAATTAGAGCCAACCTTTTTCCACAAACCTCCTAATGGGTTTCACTGAGCATAAAGACAGCTTCAAGTATTAACTAAAACCGCTGACTAAAGCGGTCATAAAAAAAGTCACCATCAAGTTTTTCCAAAGTATTTTGCCAGTCTACTCTCGCTCCCTTTCCCCCTGGCTTGGTGCGCCACAGTGGATTTACAGATAGAAACTAATTAGGTTGCGAGCCTAATTAGATTACACTGACATAAGGTGCGCATTGGAGGAATAGCACATTCTTAGAAACACTCAGAGTGAAGGGAATACTTTCACACTCCTACACATCTGGGAACAATTCCATGAAAATGTGAGAGTTCTCAGCTGTATATGCAAACGCAACACAAGTGAAAAGAGGCAAAAGAGACACATGCACATGGGAAAACAAACAAACACCCAAGTAAAACAGTGTTGCACATAGTAAAACACAGAGCCCTGCATATGCACTCAATCATAATTGTCAACAAAAAAAAAAAGTATGTTCACTGTTATATCTTGTTGCATATCTTAGGCTGATACTCACTGGTCCTCAATGATGTCTTCACATGAACAGGCGATGATGTACCCGGCAGAGGATGCCATAATGGCCTGAACGGAGGACACCAGTCTGTGAAAGGGTGAGAGAAAAAACATTCATGAAAGACAGCAAGGAGACCAAAACAGACTGCAAAAACCCTTAGATAGGAGATATTTGAAACCATTAAAGGGGTCATATGATGCGATTTAAATTTTTCCTCTCTTTGGAGTGTTACAAGCTCTTGGTGCATAAAGAAGATCTGTAAAGTTGCAAAGACTAAAGTCTCAAATCCAGAGAGTTATTCTTTGTAAAAGTTAAGAGTCAACCACGCCTACCTAAAACGGCTCGTTCTAACACGCCCCCACATATCTACGTCATGATGTGGGAAGATTTGATTAACGCTGCCCAAATGTTCATGCAAAGAAAGAAGGCGTAACTTTGATTCTCGCCGTAGTATTGTTGTTGCAGTGTGTTTCGTTGTGAAAGTGAAACTACTTTGTTTGGCCTTCCAAAAGAGGACGATATCTGCTTCGTCATGCCTGGAGCTGATTCGTGCTGGTCGCTGAGGAAATACTTCAACTTCGTGCTGTCGATCGCCGGATCGGCTTTCACCGTGGACGAAGCGGAGTCCAGCCCGGGGTCGTCACATGTGGTTGCCGCAAGCCTGCGCCGTTCTCAAGCCCGCCTGCCTCTGCTCACTCAAGCAGCCTCCGCTCACTCTAGCACTGTGTGTTTCGTTGTGAAAGCGAAACTACTTTGTTTGGTCTTCCAAATGAGGACACAACTAGACATCAGTGGTTAAGTTGTATTTACAACACTGTTCCAGAGCAGTTATAATATACCCAAATATTCAGATGTGTCCAGTGCATTTTATGGAGGACTGATCCTGGTGGAGTAGACTACAATGCCGGTTGTTCTGACTCACAGACTGCAAGTAAGTTTTTTTTATATTAAAGAATTTGCCACTGATGATTCAAACGCAAGTTTTGAGCAGTGTAGGGTGGAGCTTGTTGTTTGTCATTTCTCCGATCACAAATGCAGACATGGTTTTATGTTTACGCGGCGCGATACGCAACGCGTAAAAAGACAGTATAAGTCATTATAAGCCGTAATTATGTCCCCACTGGATGCAACAAATGCCTCGTTTATAATGGGTTTTATTGGTTTTGTCTCGTCGCGCCGGGACACGCCATCACAATGTGGTAAGGGGCGTAACATTCCCGTCACACACTTGAGGTATTCGGCCAATCACAATGCACTGGATAGCTGGCCAATCAGAGCACACCTCACTTTTCAGACCGATGAGCTTTGTAAAAATCAACGCGTTTCAGAAAGGCGGGGCATAGAGGAGAAACAATAATGTACAGTATGTGGAAAATAATGTTTTTTGAACCTTAAACTGCATAAACATTTTATTACACCAAATAATGTTCTTTTTAGCAACATCCTATGACCCCTTTAATAGCAGATTTTGATGACACCAGTTAAAGGAAGGGTCATTTAAACAGGATATTACTCTGTAACTTTCCTAGCTAAGCAGAAAAGCACATCGATGCATCAGACATGCACTGCAATCAAATGTAACCGTACATGCAACATCTTTACTCAGCAGATTTTAATCAGACACATTTCACGCAAAATGCCTTCAAAACAAGATAATAATCTCTGCCATAAACTTACAGAAACACATTTAGTAACAGACCGATGAATCTGCAGATATTTGATCATTATGGGATTATCTTCCTCATTCATTTCAGGCAATTATTTTCAAATATTTTTAGTAATTTTAACAATTTATTTGTAAAATAAGTGTTTATTTCAGCAAGTGTCAATTTTATTGATGCATATTTTATGCATATTATTAGTGGTCGATTAGTGGTGGTTTTTTGACATCTGAATATTAGACAGACTTCTATCCGTATTAGACAGAACAAGCGCAGCCGCTCTCAGTGCTGTCAAAATAAAAGTCCGGCCTCGAACGCATCGGCCAAACAGAAAAACTTATCAGCCGATGCCGATATTTGAAAAATGCCAAATATCGGCCAATATCTCGGCCTTGGCGATATATCGGTTGACCACTACATATTACATATACATCATTCACAACTAACCTTAAACCAAACTCTTTCCCGTTAGTGCATGTTGTGCATGTTGTAAATTAAGTGTAACCTAAAATCTAAAATTTTAATTTGTACAGATTTTGAATTTCATTGTTGGATGAACATTCATTTAAAACATAACTGTTAATACATATGGCAGCTTAAAGAAACAAATAAATTATAGGCGACATACTTGGTCCAATAACAAGGGTTGCATCCCTCCTCGGGGTTCAAACCTGGAACCTTACAATGACCTGCTCATGCATTTTCGTTTACTACTATGCCACACCACCTACAATGTCATATCACCAAACATACACAAAGTTGAATGTCATTACATGAGCACTGGTCAGAATGTCTGTTGCTGTTACAGGCATATAATTCATTCTACAACTTTGGTCAGGCATGGTCTAAAAATAATCATTTTGGTGAAGATAGCACACATTTTGTAGGATGCATTACTGAAACCATATTAAGCAGTTTTGCAGTACTACACATAAAAACACCAGAGAAAGGTGATGCAAGTTAGAACATATAATTGGGTCTGAATGGGTTAAAGCAATCCTAAAGATGCTAGAGAAAAGCAGCAGGGGGACAGGGTCATATTGGACAAGAGCAGGAGCAAAAAAGGCAGAAGATTACATTAAGGTTGAGCAGCGTCGGTTACGGGGAAGGGCAATCCTGTCACAGTCTTCCAGAAATCGGATCACAAGGTCCAGGAGGCATCTGTGAGACGGTCCACATGATGTTGTTGATTTATCCTAAGCGCTTGATCCCAGAAAGCTGCACAGGTTTTGGATTGCCAGCCCCTGCTGGGAATAAAAAAGTGTTACACACACATATATGTGTGTGTGTGTACTTTTTTTATTCCCATATATATATATATATATATATATATATATATAAAACAACAAGATGTCCAAGGACGAACAATCGTAGTACTGCAAAGTTCGTCTGTCCACATCAAGCTGTCCAGGAATCGAATGCATCCATCGTCCATCTGGTCTTCACAAAGCTCATTACTCAAGCCGAGTCAGCAGAACAAAAGCTGCAGTGGTCAGATATGGCCACACTCAAACATTAGCCTTGCAAATGACTTATGTAAATGAAAATGTAGGCTACCCGTGGCGGAGAGCGGATACCTGCACCAGATGGAAGAAGAGACAAGCAGGTATCCAGGCAACCACTCTGGTCCCCGGCTCTGCCTCTCTCACCACCTCGCTAGCTAGGATTAGACAAAACAAGTGGGGGCTGGGGAAGGCAGGAAGGGTGGAATGGCTCACATTTGACTACAGAACATGTGCAAATCCTAAACCAAATGCCGAAAGTTATCTAAATAATTGCATTATTCTAATTCGCCTGTATGCAAAGTAGAGAAAGAGAGTCACGCTAGCTCTCAGGCTAGCGCTGTGCTAACATGACTCAGAGCCTCGCTGAGCGGATAAATACAGCTGTGGTCACCCGTTGTCTTTTTACATAACCTTTAACTAATATCACCGGAGAAATTAGTAAATATATCACGGAAAAGGGAAATGGCCGGTTTAACTTACTGTTCATCGCTCTCGGTTCAGAAATCACGTCTTTTCGACTGACCCCCGTCCTAAATGCGTTGACGAGAGATTAATTTTACTTTTAAATCTGCACCGCGAGTCTTAGTAACTAACTGCTGATTGGCCAAACGAGAAGGACGCGACAGATTTGCCCTTCATTGATTGGTTTAAGCTTTGATTGACAGTAAATGTGACCAATGGCGAGTAAAAACAAAGTGACCTGATAGTGCAAGACCGCATTAACTATTTATGGCCCGACGTCTTTTTGTCATCTTTTGTTTCAATAGTCCGTACTAAACATACAGAATTATGAATGTTCTGCTCAAATAATACGTTTTGTTTGCCCAATACACGCAGGCAGAGAGTACGTTTAGTCTATGAGTTTAAAGTCACCATTAATTGAAAATCGACAGTTCTTGTTTTTTATTGAACGTTACAGTGTTTACATTCATATGCTCTCGTAATCTTTAATCAAAATTATTTAATAACTTAAGCAAATCCATCATAACTTTTGCTAAAAAGCCCTGACGTGACAGAATGTTGTCGTGCAACAAAAATCAGTGTCAACGCATGTTTTACATAATAGCAGTTAATATATTGTTTTTTTTTTAATATGCAATATTCTATTGCAGGCATGACGGAGAAAGATGGTTAATACGCTCTCACCAGTTAAGTGTGCATGTGCCAAGTTTATTATTTTTTATAAATACCAGTGTGTGTGAATGGGAAATTTCACTTTATACATCGGACCCCTGGAGCCTAAATATAAACTTGCCATAAAATATATTTAATGGAAGAACTGCTTTTAGAAATCGTTCCTATGGCATTCTACGTAGATAGTATGCTTTTATGACTGTGATGATTTCTTGGTCCAATGCTTGTGCTATACAAGATTGCACAAAGAAATGGGTCATTATGGGTTCCAATTTAAATTCAACTAGTTCATCTATGATAACCGTCTTTGCACCATATGGGGACCATAGTGGTCAGCTTTTACTGTATGTTCCTCCCTTGTGTTCATCTTCTACTGTCTCGATAATCTGTATTATAAAATATACAGCTGCAGCTGTGATTAGATGTAATGTGATGTGACGATCCACTGAGTTTTACAGTGAAGATAGTCCACAAAATAAATCCTATGAGCAGAATCTTTGGTTTCCCAAATTGCATGTGGGGTGAGAATATAATTGGTGTTTGTTCAAAATACATTATCTGAAAATTATCTGGTCTCACGCAATTTTAGATAAATGTTTCTTTTTTTTTAAAAAAAAGCAAGTAATCTCATAAATGCAGGCAACTCCTGCAATCTGTATAAGCTACTATTTTGTGTCTGCAAGGCAATATGCGTATGGAAATTTTATGCAGATACAGTTGAAAGGATTGAATTTATTTCCGTATGAAATTAACTCTTCATGAAACCAATACTCAGGAACTCACACAAAACAGACACCATGCAATAAAACAATAAAACTTATCTGGATAAAAAAAGGTATCCTAGGATCCATTTGTGGTTACTTTGGGGACTTGAGAACATGAAAATAAAGCTTGAGAATGTACTTACACTCCAACGAACCTTGTGCAGATTCTGATGTACATATGGTTTTACAAATTTGAACGATACACAAAGCCTTTCATACTTGAGGCCCTCGGTTTAGATGTAACTACTTATATTTATAGTCATTAATAGATAATGTAAATATTGAGTACCTTTAATAAAATAACCAAACTCAAGATTCGATTTTTTAAAGTAAACTTTTAAATTACATAACTTTAATGTCATAATAATATGGAAGTAGCGACAGTTCGGCAACGTTTGTTTTCACTGGCAGGTCCAGATATGACATTTTGATTAAACATTACGCAATGAAAAAAAAAAAAGACACACACACAGGTTTGTTTTTGTGAAATGTGGGGGTTCTCCATAGGCGTAATGGTTTTTATACTGTACAAACCGTATTTTCTATTGCCCTACACCAACCCTACCCCTAAACCTACCCCTTACAGGAGACTTTCTGCATTTTTAGATTTTCAAAAAAATAAAAAAACATTCTGAATGATTTATAAGCCTTTTGAAATACGGTGACACTCAAAATGTCCTCATAAATCACCTTCTCGTCTCAAACCAATAAGATGCAGAGGCAAGGTTTCCAGTGTCTGTCTCTTTAATGTCTATTTTACCCTAATCTCTTTTTTTTTTTTTCTTAAAAACTTCAAGTATTTGTTGGGAACACAAAAAGTCCAAAAACATTTTTTTTCTTCTAAAATGCAAAGACAAACAAAAGAAGAAGAAGAAAACAACAGATAACAAGAAAGTAATAACCATCTTAAAACAACTGTTCAATCATTTTATCAAAGCCATAATAGTCATTAACACGAATATCAAGTTATGAATTTCTTAAAAATGTCTAACATCTATCTTACGACTAAAAGAAATTCACCATTTACTTAAAATGTTCACTTTCTGCTTGGCAGTCGGTAAGACTGAGCCAACCCACTGATCTTCATTTCCGTCACTATTTTGCTAGTTTTTCTACCAACACAATAGCAAAAGTGGTCATAAAAACAACATCAACTTAAGAAACAAAAACTTTCAACCAAAAGCAAAAAAAATAAAAAATACATGGGGGGGGGGGGGGGGCTCCTCCTTAAAAAAAAAATATAGATTTTTGTGTGAATTTGAAGGTTGACTCAGCACTGTCACTATAATGAACTGAATCCATAGTAGAATACTGACAAAAATGCAGGGCTCAACATTAAAGACAGCCCGCTGGCCCAGAACCAGTGTGAGAGAGTTTCGGACTGATTGACTTGAACTTGACTTGTGCATCAAAATGTTATACCTTGTATACTTAGACGCAATGAACTGGAAGTAGTGACAGATATTTTCTTCCATATTTAAATGAAAAAAATTAAAAAAAAAGAAAAAAAAAAAAAAAAGGTAGGGGGGGGGGGGGGGACCCTTCCTATAATGAAATTAAATAGCAACAGCACATTTATAAACATTTCTAAAATAAAACTCCTAATGCACTGCAATTGCAAATCCAAGTGAAGTCCATACACACATGCACTGAGAGACATTATTGATGAGCAATAACTGCCTTGATACATCCAATCGTGCTCTTCGCTTGTGTTGCCACCTGGTGGTAGGAGGCAAACGCTTACAGTACTGGGCATTTTTGAGTATTCGGCTCTGCAATAAACCCAGAGAGCACCAGCGACTGCCTGGACCCACGTCTACAATGTCTACAGTCTAGTCCATATCGTATAATATGAAACCTGAGCTCTAGACGTGTTACTTTTACAAATGAGTCGGGGAGGTTTTGGAGGTATTACACAAACAGCAGCATTTCCCCAACAGCTATCTAATAATTAACCATAAGCCACCGTCTCGACAATCTGCTCTGAAGGAAAAAGAAAAGCAGATGGATTCAGAGAGAGACTGCGGCCCAGTGGAGGAGCTCCACACACACACACACACACACACTTGACGTCATTCGACTGCATTACAGTACATTTTTGATAAACGATTGGGTTCAGTCTATATACACCAGCCCAGTGAGGGCCGGTTGAGGTAATGAAATATTCAAAAAAATAAAATCAAATAAAAATGTACGACACCGCACAGTCCCTAAACTCTCCGAACCTGCACAGTTTTTCAAAAACACACATGGACCAGATGGCTTGCTCATGCCGCCATGAAACCCACGCACCTGGTCCGCCAAACACAAACACCTAACAAGCTGGACAAGACGACAATAAATTAAAAAGAGAAAATAAATAATATTCAATCTATCTTCTATGCCTACAGAGCCTCGCCCAATCAGAGAGCAGGATACTGATATCGATCTCGTTTGGTCCTAGGAGGGGGGCGGGACCTTTGAGAAGATGCTTCAGGTGGGGACGGCACAGTACCTACGTTCCACAGATAAAGACGTACGTACGTCTGTCATCACGAGACGCCGCCATCTCTAAATCTCGAATGCATTTGCTCAGGGTGCTTCATAAGAAATGTTGAGAGGTTCCCCCCAAAAAAGAAGTAGAAAATCTGAGTGATATCGGACAGAAAGCATTCAGCTGAATGAGGAAGCGGTAACAAAATAAGAAGACTTAAGAACTTTTGGTTACCAGAATTTTCAGAATAAAACCTAAGAACCCGCAAAAGGAACACAGTGATAAACGTTTGGAGATACAGCGGCAGATTGAAGATGGCCGCCGGGGCTATGCTATGGACTCGTGGGCACTGTCATCTCATCTGTTAGTGAAATCATGGTCAGCGCAGTCTCGTCATTTGCATTATTCCAGATATCTGTATTGCACAACATTGACGTTGGCTCGTTTAGTCATATTCAACAATCTATTTTCTTTTCTTTTTTTTTATTTCTGTGGAAAAATTCTATTTCCCGTAATCCTCAAGCACACAGTCAGTATAAAAGTGTTCTCAGCAGCATCAAAAGCATTATTCATCAGTGTCGTTTAAGTGGATCTGTTTTTCTGAGAAATCCCCATGTCGAATTGGAATGAGTGCTGAGAGTTCATTCAAAAGCATGTGATCCATATCGTCATCTCCAAAGCATGCTTGCTCCTATGATCCACATTTCCCAGAATCCACCTCATCTCTCTTCTTTCCTTGATACTTTTGAGGAATGCCAGGCTGTGGATCTGATATAAAGAAATAAATGGTTTTACAAGATTGCATAAAAATGGAGGTGATATGGGGTGATACCGGGGGTCATATAGCCTGTTCCTACATTACTTGAAGCTCCTTGATGGCTAATGTCAAAATCGTAATTGCACAATGTGCTAAATGCTAGACTTCATGTTAAATAGGTTAGTACTCAGAGTCTGCACTCAGTTTGTGATATTCCTGTTATACAGTATTTTAGAGTAAACAGTAGGAATGCAACAATACAGTTAACCCAAGGTTCAATAAATACCTCAGTTTTTTTAAACACAGTTTTCACTTTGGTTCTGATGGTTTGGCACAACAGAGTTCTTTTTAGCGATTTTAAATGCTATTTAAAAAAAACAAACTCCAGTATACTTTAAGTAAAACTCCAGGACATTGTTGTACACTGTAGAAAAACATGGATCATCACATGTCTACCTTAAATTTATTTTGAGAGAAGTATTATTTTTATAGATTGGCCATTATTTAGTGCTGTGAACACATGTAATGTCTGTTTCATTCATACTGGATACTAGAGGGTGCCCCTGTGCAGAAAGTCCACATATGCATCACCGAAGAAATAGAGCTCACGACTCCAGGGCTGTGTCCGAAATCGCCCCCTATACCCTCATTCACTATTCCCAACATTAGGTCACTAATTCAGTTCACTAGAAGGAGTGAATGAAAACGACTAGTGAATTCGGACACTGAGTGCACCAGAAGGAATGCCGCTTTTGCATAGTTTGTGCTTGCTGTTTATTAATCATTTGAAACTAGCAAACTAGCAGCTCCAGTAGTAAGATTAAAGGATTTATCTTGAACTCTGTCAAGGAAATTATGTATAAACCCTAATAAAACAATTTAATAATCAATTTATGCCCGTGTTGTACATTATGCTGTACGCCATGGGTGAGCGCTTTGTAAAAATGAACGGATTGATTATTCCGCTGCGGGCGCCATCTTCTGGCGAGATGCGGGAACTCATTCAGCGCGTGACTCTCACGGTGCATTATGGGCATTCTCTAGCCGTTGAGCGTGCACCAGTTGTACACTCGTTTTTGCAGTGCATTGTGGGATTGAATGAGTGCACACGAGAACGTCCACTATGGTTTCGGACACCACTAAAAATGGCCGTTCCCTCAAATAGTGCCCTATTTAAGGGTATAGGGGGCGATTTCAGACACAGCCCAGGAAATACCATACACGTATTTCCTCATCTCAGCGCACGACTCACGGACACACAAACAGAGCCAGTTTGGAGAACAATAAAAAAAAACACGGAAAACGCTCTGATTGGTTGAACTCCTCATCTTTTTCTGTTGCTTGTTTACTGCACGTGGACAGGTCACTGGGTTTTTGCATAGTTTAGAGTGACAAATCGTACCAGCGTACTTTAAGGTCAAAATGCGTACAGGTTGGCAGGTCTGTGTATATTATGGCTTTTTTCCACTGCATGGTACGATAAAATAAATGGGAATTTTCTGAATTTTGAGCAATTTGTTACTGCTTTGTACAAGTTGTTATATTAATTATAATTCAAATGCATTTTTTTTTTTTTTATCAAAATTGTATTGTTGATCATTGTTGAGAGGGGCCCCTTTTGATTAATTCAAAAAAAGGGCAGGGGCTTAATTTTGAGTATATACTGGAAAAAGAGACGAGTTGTCAAAAAACACTTCTTGTTCTTATACTCACCTAATGAAGGTTTTGAAGGCTGCACTCTGGGGATTGATGCACAAAGGCACTCGTTTGCCTTGCTGGTGCTCTGTTATAAAACGATGGATGAGCTCTGAGACGAAGAGAGAAAACAGGTCATCAAAATAGGTCCTTCATGTCAAAAGATGATGGAGATTTAATCGTAAAACAAAGCGCCAGAGTGAGTCACCTTTGCCTTGCCAGACGGAGTGCATGCTCTGCTCATAGTTGTGGCTGAAAGGTCGATCCGCAGGCGGCTCAAAGTCTCGGGTGTACACCCTCCCGCTGGGCACAGAGTAACAGCACTTACACATGCAGGTGTGGTACCGCAGACGACCCTCATCCAAATACGGATGAGACAGAGCGTCACTGCCCGAGATGCGCTTAGCCTATAGATGGAGACACACACACACAGACTATTACCTGAAGAAGAAGAAGAACTGAAGTCATTTTCACTCCAAAATAGTAATAATAATACCAAAAAAAAAAAAAAACACTGTTCAAAAGTATGAGGTCAAGTGTTTTGTTCTTACTTTGAACATTAAATTGACCAAAAGGGACAGTAAAGCCACTTAAATTGTTACAACAGATTTTGAACATATTAAAGGAATACTGAAAAATGTATCCCAGTTTCCATAAAAAATATTAAGCAGTGCAACTATTTTCAACAGTGATGAGACAATAATTAGTTCAAAAGCATATCAGCATATTAGACTGATTTCTGAAGGATCATGCGACATTGAAGACAGGCGTAATGATGCTAAAAATTCAGCTTTACTATCACAGGAATAAATTACACTTTAAAAACCATGCATTCTAAATTGTAATAGTATCAACGATGACATCAATGATGATTCACTATATTCTCATTACTCATACAAAACCATATTAAAAGGCACGATATGTAAGATTTTCGTAATAAAATATCCAAAAACTACGTGCACAGTGTGATATATTTCATGCAGTTGTGTATTTATGTTATCCCAAAAATTCCCAAGGATTTGTAAATCCAGAGAAATTCCCATTTTAAATAATGGCTCGTTGCCTATCAATGATGTAATATCCGCATATCCTCAGTTTCCACTTGTAGAAACGGTGGTGCCTGCGTCCCAATGTGCACACTATCCATCCTAAATTCGATGTGATATTAGTCATTTTCAATACTATTTAGGGTAGATAGTATGCACATTGGGACGCAGGGTATGGCAACACACGGACACAAATGCTGCTGTACAGATAAACTAAATCCACTACGGATGTCGCGAATAAATCGAAAATGAAATGAAAAGTGTTGACCGCAGCATTACATTTAGATCTGCTCAATGTTGCACCATGATTTTTATACGCGTTTTTACAGTGTTGCGCATTATAACCAATCACACACGAGTCCGTTGAGCTTATGAATGCAATGGCCAATCAGAGGCGTTCAGATGAGTTTTTTGTCCACTGCACGCACTCGCTGACTGAATTCAGCTATCGCGCGAATTCTCTCATCATAAACCACTAAGTGCAGATGTACATATGACAGAGATTCATTCATCAAACCGTGTATAGACAGCTTTACTGATTATAACTGGAGTTTTCTGAGAGTGCTTAAACTCGCGCTAGACTTAAGTCAGTCATATGTTCTTTAACAATGTAAATGTTCTTTGCTCACATTCTCTGTATAATTTATTCGCTGTTTGAATAACTGTGGAAGGTACAGGTAATAAAAAAAAAACTTAATGACCTCATCCGTGAAAATCGGCCTTCAAAGCTTCATCAAGCTTCGCCTTTGTTATTGTTTTGAAAATACGACCTCTAGTGGCGAAAAATTACATATTGTGCCTTTGCATCTAAGTAGGAGTTACAAACCAAACAGGAAGCATTTACATATATGTGACCCTGGACCACAAAACCAGTCATAAGGGTCAATTTTTTGAAATTGAGATTTATACATCATCTGAAAGCTGAATAAATAAGCTTTCCATTGCTGTATGGTTTGTTAGGATAGAAGGGTGATGGTGCAAAAATTGTCCAAATGAAGTTCTTAGCAACGCATATTACTAATACTAAGTTTTAATATATTTACAGCAGGAAATTTACAAAATATTTTCATGAAAGATGAACTTTACTTAATATACTAATGATTTTGGCATATAGGAAAATCTATGATTTTGACCCCTACAATGCATTTTTGGCTATTGCTACAAATATATTCGTGCTACTTATGACTGGTTTTGAGCTCCAGGGTCAGATATTTATTTTAACAATGTGCTTTATATGTAAATGTTATAAAATACAACTACAGAAACGTGTATACATCCTCAAAATAACTATTATTTTAAGTATAGGCCATAAATAAATCACACAAAAACATTAGCCAAAATGCAGACAGTTATTGTGATCTAGAAAAGTCATACTCACTGGATCAAAAACTAGCATGCGGCACAAAAGATGAACAGCTTCATGTGTTGCGCCATCTGACAACATGTACAGAACAGACAGCGAGGGCTAAGAGACAGAAAGCACAAATAAACGTTAGAATATTGTATTTGATTTGAGGACAGATTTGTGCATGACATCTTTATGGACTAATAAATCATTGTAAAGGAGGGTACTGAACTGGTTTGTGGGGTCCTCTAAGAATGTGCGCTCGTGCTCCTTCACAGGCGGATGCCATGGCAGAAAGAGGAGGAGTCCCGAGGAGATCAGTGATCAGATCCAACTGAGAGAAAAAGAGAGGAGGAGAAACACTTTAAAATCTAATTTATTAAAAGGACCTAATTTTCAGCAAGATTACAGTGTATATTAAAAATGATTCTTTAATATATAGTAGCGGTACGTAAACGTTTGAGGTCGGTATGACTTCTTAATGTTTTTGGAAAGAAGGCTCTTATGTTCACCAAAGCTGCATTTATTTGATAAAAAAAAATAGCCAGCAATATTTTGAAATATGGTTACAATTTGAAATAACTGTTTTAAATTTGAATATATTTTTACCATTCCTGTGATGGTAAAGCTTAATTTTCATTATTTCATTACTAATTTACAGTCTTCAGTGTCACTTGATCCTTCAGAAATCATCCTAATATGCTGATTTGGTGCTCAAGAAACATTTTTTTAATCCATGTTGAAAACAGCTGTGCTGCTTTCGTTTCTGTAAATGGGATTTTTTTCCGCCCAGATTTCTTTAATAAACAGTCCCCAAACTTTTGAACGGTAGTGTACATTATTACCTGTTGTATGGGGCTCAACATTTTATGTACATTCACTGTATGATATCGGATTTTGGTATTCAAAGCATTTCACAAGTACGACTCCCCCAGCAACAAGAGTAAAAAGTGCCCCAAACAAGATTAAGATTCAGAACATAAGATTAAAGCTTCCCAGGATGATTACAAGGTCAAACATAATCCCATTCTGCAACACACGCATATAACACATCAAACTTTCATCTGTCCTGATTAAATACTCCAGATTCCCAAAATTAAAAAAAAAGAAGAATGTAATCCAAAAGTGACATATGCCCATGTGAACTCACCCCTGAGTATCTGGTAGAGGAACACCTTGATGTGATCGGTGGTGAGAGGCTGAGGGGAAACGATGACTTTATGTAGGTCACTCTGCATGAGCTCAGTGATCACGTATCTACAGACCCAGTTAAGAAAACAACTGACCTGCAAAACACCTACAGCCACAATAACAACTTCTACTATATGCTAGGGCTGCAAAACTATTAATCGCATTCAAAATAAAAGTTTATGTTTACATACTATATGTGTGTGTACTGTGCATATTTATTATGTATATATAAATACATGCACACATATATGTATATATTTTTAAATATATGTATATTTATACTTGTATATAATTTATACTATATATAAATATTTGATATATAAAATTTCCTTTATACATGTATGTGTGTATTTACATATAGGGGTGGGTTCCGTTCACATTTTAACCGGTACGGTACCGGTATCGGTACCAGCATTTACATTTTGAACAATAGGTCCCTACAAACTTTTTCTTTTTTCTTTCCCAGAAATTCTTGTTTAAATTTTTCTGAAAATCAAATGAAGGCATTAAATATTTATTTGAAATCAAATGAAAATTAAACCCTTTTATTTTTTGGCAAACAAACTGAGGTTTACTGTTGAAATTAATACATGGAAGAAAATTTTTGAATATTTCATTAAAACATTTTTAATAGGCTAATAATTGTATTATTTTTTTCTACAATTAAGTGATTAATCTGGTTGTAATATTTATTTTTATAATTTAATTGTTTTATTTAAATTTGATAGAAGATGGAATATTTAAAGATGTACATTATACTGTACAAAAGTAATACAAGAGTAATATATTTCTGTTACATGCTAAACCGTACTTTTATTTTGACAGGTTGCCATGAAGTTTCTGTGTATACAGTATGATGGTGCTAGTTTTTACAAATGAAACGTAAAATTCTCGTGAAGTGACTCTCACAGGAGATTAAGTTTTTGTGTTCATGCCGTCATATAGTGAGACGCAGAGGCCGAAAATCACTGCGAGCCTCACGCGTGCTTCAGTATTTGTGTAGTGAACAAAACCGTGTCTCCGCCATTCATTCATACAGAGGCAAGCGGAACATGCAGGATTTATATTTAAACCGTCTTTTTGCATTTTAATATTCACAGACACCGTTTTCTCAGTAAAACCATATGGCCCTAGAAATGTAACCACACTTCAGAACATTTCGGCTTGCCCTGTGTGTTGTTTGAACAAGTTGCAGGGGTGACCTCACGTCACAGGGTCTCTCTTTCTCTCTGTAGTGTATGCGCCCAGATGCGTTCTCAGGTACCGAAATTTGGCACTGATTGATTTAACGTGAATCGTCGTTAATATTGCAATTCGGTCGGTACCCTTAAAAGCACCGAGTTCGGTACCCAACCCTATTTACACACATATAGTATGTAAACTAGTGCGGTCAAACGATTAATCGCATCCAAAATAAAAGTTTTTGTTTATGTAATATATGTGTGTGCACTGTGTATATTTATTATGTATATATAAATACACAAACATTCAGTGTACAGTTTGAAAATATTTACATGTATATATTTATATAATTTATATTATATATACATTTTCCTTTATACATGTATGTGTGTATTTACATATACATAATAAATATACACAGTACACACATATAGTATGTAAACTAGTGCTGTCAAACAAATAATCACGATTAATCACATCCAAAATAAAAGTTTTTGTTTATGTAATATATGTGTGTGTACTGTGTATATTTATTATGTATATATAAATACACAAACATTCAGTGTACATTTAGAAAATATTTACATAATTTCTATTACATATAAATATTTTATAAATTTTCCTTTATACATGTGTGTATTTACATATACATAATATACACAGTACACACATATAGTATGTAAACTAGTACCGTCAAACAAATAATCGTGATTAATCGCATCCAAAATAAAAGTTTTTGTTTATGTAATATGTGTGTGTACTGTGTATATTTATTATGTATATATAAATACACAAACATTCAGTGTACATTTAGAAAATATTTACATGCATATATTTATATTACATATAAATATTTTATATATACATTTTCCTTTATACATGTATGTGTGTATTTACATACACGTAATAAATAATCACAGTACACACACATATTATGTAAACAAAAACTTTTATTTTGGATGCGATTAATCGTTTTGGAGCCCTAATATTTGTATAATCTATTACTGTGGCAGTGGAATTATTTTAAAGGTTTTCTAGCATTTTGCACTTCCTAACACAGCTACTTTCAAATTTACTCGCCAAGGCTAATTGTCACTTGTATTTGGCGCTTGGCAGGGTGTTAATTTTGGATGTTGGACGCAAACCAGGACATTCATAAATTAATAAGTGCAAAACCAGCTTCACATTATGTTAAACCACAGTTAAAAATAAATACTAGCCTGTGCTGTAAAAATGTATATTATAAAGATTAAAAGTTCCAAATTCTAAGTCCCTGCAAAACAGAAAATACACATACAGTATCTCACAGAAGTGAGTACATCCCTCACATTTTTGTAAATATTTTATTATATCTTTTCATGTGACAAAACTGAAGAAATTACACTTTGCTACAATGTAAAGTAGTGAGTGTACAGCTTGTATAACTCAAAATAACTCAACACACAGCCATTAATGTCTAAACCGTTGGCCACAAAATGAGTACACCCCTAAGTGAAAATGTCCAAATTGGGCCCAAAGTGTCAATATTTTGTGCGCCCACCATTATTTTCCAGCACTGCCTTAACCCTCTTGGGCATGGAGTTCACCAGAGCTTCACAGGTTGCCACTGGAATCCTCTTCCACTCCTCCATGACATCACGCAGCTGGTGGATGTTAGAGACCTTGATATGTTCCATAGGGTTTAGGTCTGGAGACTTGCTTGGCCAATCCATCACCTTTACCCTCAGCTTCTTTAGCACGGCAGTGGTCGTCTTGGAGGTGTGTTTGGGGTTGTTATCATGTTGGAATACTGCCCTGCGGCCCAGTCTCCGAAGGGAGGGGATCATGCTCTGCTTCAGTATGTCACAGTACATGTTGGCATTCATGGTTCCCTCAATGAACTGTAGCTCCCCAGGGCCGGCAGCACTCATGCAGCCCCAGACCATGACACTCCCACCACCATGCTTGACTGTAGGCAAGACACACTTGTCTTTGTACTCCTCACCTGGTTGCCGCCACACACGCTTGACACCATCTGAACCAAATAAGTTTATCTTGGTCTCATCAGACCACAGGACATGGTTCCAGTAATCCATGTCCTTATTTTGCACAGTACAGTATTTTCCTTGACTTCACATGCTTGGGTCATGTTCTGGTCTGCCTTTACTCCATGTCTCCCACTTTCACATTGATAACAAAGTACAACACTGATAGACATGCAAATACAGCTACTGCGGTTTAACGTTATACCATCTGCCGCATGATATATACCGTCAAACACTCCTAATGGAAACAAATCAACTACTTAAAGGGATAGTTCACTTAAAAATAAAAATTCTGTCATAATTTACTCACCTTCAAGTTGTTTCAAACTTGTATGAGTGTCTTTCTTCTGCTGAACACAAAAGATGATATTTTGAAAAATGTGGGTAACCTAACAGTTGCCGGAAACCATTGACTTCTATTGTATTGTTTTCCCATAATATGGAAGTCAATGGCTGTCAGCAACTGTTTGTTTCCCAACATTCTTCAAAACATCTTTTGTGTTCAGCAGAAAAAAAGAAGCTCACACAGGTTTAGAACAACTTTCTTCAGATGAACACAGATGAAGACAATCCAACTCTGAAGACACTGATGCATCATCTGGGGTCATATGTCTTACCATTGTGTTTCTTTGTGTGGTTTTTTTAAGCATCAGCTTTCGGGGTCCTGTACACTTGCATTATATGGACCAAAAAAAAAAAGTCATACATCTGATCTGGAATGGCATGAGCACAAATAAATAATGAAAGAATTTTCATTTTTGAGTGGAACACCCCTTGAATCCCCTTAGTACTGAGGCACGAAGAGAATAAAATAATAAAGATAAAAAGTATCAGAGGGGAACAACTTCAGGTGAAGCATGAGTCTGAAGGATACATCTCCTCAAAGCAGTCGATTTGTGGAGGTTGGAGAATGTCAAGGGCAGACAGCACCTACCAAAGCAAATTCCCATCATTACAAAAAACATGCAATGCAAAGCTCCAAAACTGAAAACACACACACACACACACACACTGTCTTTCACAATAAACCCATTCTCTCTTTTTATGCCCACCCATGCATGCAAGCTTCCACCCGCAAAACTTACATTGTCATGTTTAAAGAAACACAGCATCCGGAGTTCCCTGAACACACGTTTGCAGGAGACCAGGTTCTGGAAGACATTCGGCATTTTCTTCAGAGCCACCTTACGTCCATCCCGAGGGTCCGTCACAGACCTATCAATGCAAATGGATAGCCAGAGTGTGTAATATAACACCACTGCCAAAACTTTGGGATTTGGTCAAATTTTAATTAAACTTTAAAACGCATTGAAAAATAATTTTTAAATTGTAAACATATTTTACAATATGACTGTTCTTACTGCATTTGTAATCAAATAAATGCTGCCAAGGTGAGACTTTAAAAAATATTTTTTTTTTACAGATGCCAAACTTTTGAATGGTAGTGTAACAACATGACAGACGGTCATCTTAAATCAGTGTGCTAAGATGACAGCGGGACTTACCAGACCACCCCAAATGCACCATAACCGATAGGCCGATCAGGCTCCATTTCAGCAGGACTTGGAACCTCACTTGCTGGGTTACTGTGAGGTTGTGGGATGGCCGCACCTCCGCCTGCACTGCCCCCGAGAGACGCCGGGTGTCTGGGAGTCCCAGCGGGAGCGTTGGGTCCAGTCGGATTTGGTGTTGCGCTGAGGCCCGTTGAGGTAGTGCCGGTCGTGGTGTTCACACAAAAATACTTGTGGCCTAAGTCTGATCCAGGGAACAAGTTACCACACACTGTTGGCCTATTTTACAATATGACTGTTCTTACTGCATTTGTAATCAAATAAATGCTGCCAAGGTGAGACTTTAAAAAATATTTTTTTTTTTACAGATGCCAAACTTTTGAATGGTAGTGTAACAACATGACAGACGGTCATCTTAAATCAGTGTGCTAAGATGACAGCGGGACTTACCAGACCACCCCAAATGCACCATAACCGATAGGCCGATCAGGCTCCATTTCAGCAGGACTTGGAACCTCACTTGCTGGGTTACTGTGAGGTTGTGGGATGGCCGCACCTCCGCCTGCACTGCCCCCGAGAGACGCCGGGTGTCTGGGAGTCCCAGCGGGAGCGTTGGGTCCAGTCGGATTTGGTGTTGCGCTGAGGCCCGTTGAGGTAGTGCCGGTCGTGGTGTTCACACAAAAATACTTGTGGCCTAAGTCTGATCCAGGGAACAAGTTACCACACACTGTTGGCCGAGAGGATCCATGGAAAGCCATCCTATATGATAAACACAGGTGAGGAATTGACATTAAAGCGATTATCCACCAAAACAATAACAATTCGGTCAGCATCTGAAGAATGCTGATAACCAGACGGCTTCAGTTCTCATCGACTTCTATGGTATTTTTTGTCCATACAATGGAAGTCAATGGGAACCGAAACGGTTTAGTTACCAACATACAGTAAAATATACATTAAATTGTAAAAATAAAGCCATACAGATCTGGAGTGACATGAAGGCGACTAAAGTATGACAGAATTTTCGCTTTAAGTGAACTATCCCTTTAAATTGATTACCTGCAGTCCTAAAATTTCTATAAACACAAATTTCTTATTTGAGACCAAACTATGTACCAAACTGACAGAAAATCCTGGCAAATGTACTAGCCAAAGCTAATTTTCACTTGTATTTGGCGCTTGGCAAGGTGTTAATTCTGGACCCTGGATGCAAACCAGGACATTCGTAACAAATTAATAAGTGCAAAAACAGCTTCATATTATGCTAAACTTGAGATGTACCAAAATGACAGAAAATTCCCACTAAATTTTCATGGAACACAAAAGGAATAAACCAGGCATCATCCATTGAATCTCAGTTAGATGCCATTCATCAGTTTGCAACATCAGTTCTCATGTGTGTCATAACCAAACTCTGTGAATATGCCTTTTATTTTTGCTTGCTCCTTATACAAAGTTATCATATGACTTGAGAATATAGGGTAGAAATAGCTCTTGTCATTTTGGGGGCTTAAAAGTTGTGGTCGCATTAAAGTTTTAAATGACACGTTATAATTTTTAAATGTATGTGTTATATAAATGTAACTATTCCTTTCAACGATGTTGTCTGAATAGCCTGGTCATTTGTTAAGGTGAAGACTTCCTCAACAGTTAACCAGTCCAAAAAGAATTAGGTATAAATAAATAACAAAATATTGAACCTAAGCACATAGGTACATATTAGGAAATATAAGTTGTTGAGCCAGTGTTTACTTCCTGCAGCCGCATTGCAACAGTGCAGCTCACTCAGAAACATTACTAGACCAAATGTACTTTAGTCATGTGCTCGGTCGGTGGTCTGACAGCACATTTCTCTGTTATATCAGTGTGAATAGCCTGCAAAAACTTGTGCTTGCAACACGTCTGTTAAGTTCACATCAGTCTTGTTCCTCATCTTTGTTCGCAAGCTGCTCTTTCCTCTATAAACACAAGCTAACAAGCTACCCTTCAATGACACAACTCGCTACAAGGTTAATATTTAAGCTGCTATTAGCCCTTCCACATACCACAGCAGCCCATATCTCAATCCTCTACATTTTTTGTTTTGTTTGATAGAATTTCAAGCCAGTTAACTCTAATAATAATGTAGCTAACGCGACCTCACCGGCTGTTAACTTAACGTTACCTCCGGCTAGCTAGCTAATTAATCTGCTCCGTGACCTATATATGATGTTTATATGCACAAACGGTCCATTTCAGAGCGAGAATAACAACATAACGTGAATATAACCCAACATAATGCACACAGAAAAGGAAAGGTGAGCTGTAACTCGTGGTAAAGGCCGATCATGTCGGTTTATTGGCTGCAGATGTTTGTAAAGTGTTAGCTTCAGCACAGCGGCTAACCTCTCGGAGCTGATGGCAGCGGCGGCGGAGCTCAGATCTTCATGACGGACGCATTTCTGCTCGCTTTAAATCCTTCTGCTGCAGCCGACTCCAACCCTGGACTGTCTCGCCGTGTTCCTCTCTCTCTCTGATCTGGAAATCAGCTGTTGGAATTAGCGGTGGAGAGCGAGAAGGAGGAGTTGGAAGTGGGGGATGGAGTGAGAGAAAGGAGGGATGAGTGTGTGGGGGAGGGGAGGACCACCGGTGTAAACAATGCGAGGGACGCGGTTTAACCATTCACTGTCTTCTGCTGATTATACTCTCACCCTGCTTTACAGGAATAGGGCACAAATTGCAGAACCTGAAACTTTTTTTCTTTAAAAAAATTAAAAAGGTCAATGAAAGCAGGTGCTTCACCTTCAGGAGATAGTAGTTTTAAGAGGTTTACTAGAAACCATGCACAATTATCATCACTCGTTTTTGTGTTAATTTATTTTTATTTTATTTTTATATACATGTATAGGCTATATATATATATATATATATATATATATATATATATATATAT